GCTTTAATTTTAGTATTTACTTTAGTCTTAGTTATTTTATTATCATCTGAGCTTCAATTCTTGCATATAATTTATTATCAGATAGTTTTACGTAAACTCTTAACTATATTTTACAAAAATAAAGAAAGAGGCAAGACCTCACCTCAATCTACAGGTTGAAAATTTTAAAAAAAAAATATATAAATATATATTGGTAACAAAGAATATTTATTTTAAATTAATAAAATGAAAAAAGAAGAAATATTATATTATAATAAAATTTTAGGATTGAACGAAAGAGCAAATAATTTCAGAAATTAAAAAAATATATAGAAAATTGATTTTGATTTGGCATCCTGATAAAAATATCAATAACAAGGAAGAATCTGAAAAGAAAACAAAAGAAATTACTGAAGCTTATAGAATAATCACAGAATATAGAGAAAAGTTTAAAAAAACAAAATCAAAAAAACAAAAATTAACACAAAAACCAAAACCAAAAAAACAACCAAAAAAAACAAAACCAAAACAAATACCAAAAAAGCAACCAAAAACAGAACCAAAATCTACAAAACAAAAATCTACAAATAGTAAACCAAAAGCAGAAGTTGATAAAGAAATCTTAAATTTTCTTTGTACATTTTTAAATACATATCATGATTCAAAATAAAAAAATTATTATATTAAAGAAAACAAAAAAGAATGATCTGTAAGATAAGAATATTTTTGTAAAAATAACAATTATTGATATTTGTCTAATTATTCTCTTTAAAAATTTTAAATAATGTCTGTTGTGATTATTGGATTTTTAGTTGCAGCTAATTTTATTATATTGAGCATGAGAATACATCAAGGCATAAAAAATTTTAATCAGGTAATTTTTTTTTATCTACATTGTTTATGTGCATCTAAACTCAAACAAAAAAAAAATTAATTTTTTTTTTTAATGCAGGGCAAACAAAGAAGAACAATAAAATGACAAAGATAATGCATAAAAAAATTTAATTTATTCAAAAATATCATATATAATAAATTTTATTTAAATATTTTTTTTCTATCATTTTTTTTTCTCAAAATATCAAATCTCTAAAAAAAAATGGAAGTAATTTACCAAAGAAAAAAATTTTCAAATATTTTTTTATAAAAACTATACAAATATTTATTTTTTTTTTAATTAAAGAAAAAAAAATAAATTTTACTTGGGCACAAACACCTTATGATGGAATGCAAAGTTAGTATATTTTTATTTTTTAATTATTTTTTTTATTATTATTTAATTTATTTATTTTATTTAAAGTATATATTGGAAATAGTATTTTATGTGCAAGAAGTCAAACTATTTTAAATACTTATAATAATAAAGATTCATTATTAAATAGCAAAAATGAAATTATTAATTCTGAAGTTATAAGTTTTAATTCAATCATATCTTTTGATCAAATTTTTTATTACTTTAATGATGAATCAAATATTACTTCTAATGATATAACTATTAAATTTGATTTGAATTGTCTTCCAAGTTATGGTGCTGAAAGAGAAACATTTTATGGAAAAAATATTAGAACAGGAAAAGATATTGTTGTTAAAAGATATTTATTTAATCAATTTGATATTAAAAGATATAAAACAACTATTTTAACAACATTAGTTTCACAATTTTTTGCTAATCAATTTAATAATACCAAAGTAGCATCATAAAAAATTTCTTTTAAAAATGTTTATTTATTAAATTACAATAATTTATATTTTTTAGAATCTGAATTAGATAATTTTACAAAATTTAATAATAATGTTGGATACTATAATCATGATGAAAAATATAAAACATTAGAAGCTTTTATGCATTTCACTTATAATTATTCTAACCATCAATTAGTAATTTGTGATCTACAAGGTGATATATATAATTATAATTATGAATTAACAGATGCTGCTATTAATTCTATAAATAATTTTTTTGGAATCACTGATCAAGGTATAAATAGAATAACAAAAGTATTAGGTTCACATAAATGTAATTCTTTTTGTTTAAAATTAAATTTGTAATTTTTTAAATTATTTTTTTATTCTAAATAAAAATATTTTATACGTTATCTTAAAAATATATATTTAATTTTTTTACAATTAAATTTTATTATTATATTTATTATACCAACAATCTGAATAATAATGATTATATTTGTTATAGATATTACAATATCTTGTTTTTTGTTTAAACCAACAATCTCTTGTATCATGATTATTTTTCTTACTTATTTTACAGTAAGTTATATTGTCTCAATTCTAACTTTTAAAACTACAAGTACATTGTTTAACATATTTTTTATACCAAAAACAATCCAAATTCTATTCTTTATCATATACTTTTGACTCAGAACCCCAACTAAGGCAAGCAGGGCAATTGTACTTATTACAGTTGTCTAAAAAAAAATACTTTAATATTTATTTACTGATAAACATAACAAAAAAAATAATTACTCACAGATCATTCTGTATTTGATTTTAACTTTTATTTCTTATCATACTTGTATTTTATATAAAAAAAGTTTATCGATAAAATATGTACTAAAAAAAAATATTGCATTATCTTTAAATCAAAATTGATTTTTAATAAGTCTAAAAAAAGAATAATTAAATAATAATATCTGTACATATTTTTTATTTATCGAATTTATTAAATTAATCTAAATTTAAAAATTCATTGATAGAATGATATATATAAATAAAATTAGAAACTTATTAATAATATATAGATTTGTAAATGATTTATATGCATGACTCAACTATATATAAAAATTTTATACTATATACTTGATGATATTTTAATTTTTTAATTTTTTTTTTTTTTTTTTTTTCCAATTCGGCAGTCAGGCCACACTTTATTAAAAATTTTTGTATTACCAAAAACCAACAAAGGATT